TGAACACGAGATAGTCGATGTATTGCTAGTTAACGAGGATGCGATATACGTTTCATAGCGGTTAAAGAGCGAAGCGGTGGTACCTTCACCGATAACTAACGTGGTGATAGCGGCATACACGACGGCACAGGCGCGATTAAAATTATACGAATATTTGGAAAAATTAGATCGTCGTATTATATTATGATATGGATTCATGTATATATACGAGCAGCGGTGATCCCGAGGAGTACGAACCGCGTACAGGTAATTTTTTGGGTGACATGACCGACGAACTCGAGAGTTATGGGCGTGGTAGCTTCATCGAGGCGTTTGTCTCTGGCGGACCGAAATTTTACGCGTACGTGGTACGTACACCGGACGCATGAAAATATGAAATATGTAAGATAAAGGGGATTAAATTGAATTTTGAAAACTCGAGGCTGCTTAATTTTAAGAGTATTTATAATTTATTATTAAATAGGGAAAAAGAGGAAGAGGAAGAGATAAAATCTGCGATTTAAAACAATTCGCCGCACCGCGTTTCACGAAGTAATAATGCGAAACAAGGTGAAAACGTGTGCTCCTGTTTTATTAAAACGCAGATTTATCGACAATCTTCTTTCTTATCCTATGGTTTACGATATAATATTTTACTTAAATTAAGTTAGGTTAAGGCTCGGATTTTTCCGTCCTCCCACTAATGTAAATATGTACAGAATATGTATACAGAATAAATATGTTTTGTAAAAATTAAGATTATTTTATTTTAGTTATAGTTATTTAGTATTAAATTTAAGAAAAAAAATGCGAAATTTGAAAAATATATATTATACGGTTTCGATTAGAAAATGTAAAATTACAAATGTAAATTTGCGTTTAGTTATTAAGAAAAAATATAAAAATATTAATAAAAATATTTATTTCTTTAATCGTAAGAAAAAGTATAATAAAAATTTTGTAAAATTAAATTTTTAAATCCAATTTTTTCCCACTTTCCTATAATTTTCCTATAACTTTCTTTTATCGCTAATTTTTTATATAGAAAATATTTTGAATTTATAATAGAGAATCATTAAAATACTTTGTAAAATATCTTTTAAATTATAATCCTAAATTATAATCGCATAAGTTACGATTTTTAAATTTGTAAAAGAAAAAGTTATAAATTTTTACGTTCGTAATAATAAGTATTTAATTATTTTTTCCACGAGTAAGTTTCTCCGACTTAAATTAGCTTTCGAGGAGCACCGCGTACAAGCTCGTAAGCGACGGTGCTCTCGCGGTGGACGCTCGCACGAGCGTACGAGCGCGGTTTGTCGCGGACGGGTACGAGCTCGTTACGCAAAGATGCTGGCGCGAGCACACCTCCGCCGCGGTGGAGCCCTTCCGCGAGTAAGCTAATCTCAAAAATTTCTGAGAAAAAATCAAGTGTTCCATTCCTTTGTTTATTAATCCAAGTACGATGCGCAAGGCGTTCATTTCGCGAAATGGATGTACGCTGGAAACATCCGTGGACGTCGATCGTGTGCGGACCGAAGGGATGTGGAAAAACAATCTTTGTAAAGAGATTTCTTCGTCATTTATCCGCTATGGCAGATGTCTACTTTGAGAGAATTTTGTTTTATTACGCCGAATGGCAGGATGCTTATCAGCAACTTCAATACGAAACTCGAGATTCCGCAATCGAATTTCACGAGGGATTACCGCGTCCGGAAGATTATTCTAACGATCCAACGCGCGCGAAATTGATAATAATTGACGATCTTATGAGGGAATCATCCTCGAGCGAAGCGATCGTGGATCTGTT